TATTAAAATGGAACTTTTGTGATAGCAGTGTTAGAATTCTGATAATGAGCATAAGTTTTCTTTTGTTGCTTGGTAATGAAGATTTGGAAATTTAAATCAACTTTATACCTTTTTTTGCCACTTTACTGCTACATTTACGGAAGTAAGATGAACTAAATTACACTTACATTTTGGGTGTTGCCTGGAGCTTCACTCAGATGGCTTAGATTTGCACCCTTTTCCACAATTTCATTACCAAGCAACAAAAGAATATTTTATTGCACTTTTGTGCAAACTTAGGACCGTCATCAGATTCAAAATCTGCTATGAAATATATTTGATTTAAGAATTAATTTCTAATATAAAATTAAAAATTCATGACCTCTTTTTTATTTATTTATTGTATCCTCTTCATCATCATGAAATAGCCGTAAAAGCAGGTGGGCCCTTCTTGAAGTTTGCCAATCTTCAAGTCCCTCCTACGCATAGCCGTTTCCTAGGTCGAAGGGGGCACCACATCCTGATTATTTATATCCAGAAGGTCGTGGCTTTATAATACAGGCTCATCGTGCTAATGGACTGTTTAATAGATCCTTGTCTTCCTAGCTCCTCGGGGAACTGGCCCAAGGAATGCTACCGTTTCCACAGATTAATTTATGCTAATTCTACAGCCTCTTCCAGAGCTATTGATTGCCTAATTTTGTTTTTCTATTCATTCTTCTCTTGGGGAAAAGGAAGAGGAATAGTTCTCGGATGTGTTGATAACCCGGAAGGCCTGAAAGAATAATATCTGTTTATTTCAATTCGGAATTTAATAGAAGCACATAACTTACGAGGGGTAACAATGGAATAACTGCAAATCAAACAATTTGATAGGAGAGTTAAATTAATTCGAATGACATCTAAATAGTATACTTTTTAAAAATTAATTTTAACAGGGAAAAAATGTATTCTATGTATTCAAAATTTACTGATATTATGCTGCGATGCCGATTCGATTCAACACGTTTTTTTTTTACAATTTAACGCGATAAAACATTTTTTCCAAATATTTTACAGTTTCGTCGTTGTTCCACCGGACGAGAAATTTGTCAAATACTATGGATGACAAATAGAGAGAAATACTTTATTTATATTATTGCTGGACTTACTATATAGAGTTGTGATATTTACTGCATATCTATCAATCCATTTCAGATATTCATATTTTTCTTTTAATTTGTACTTATACAAGATCTCATATTCCCCTTTCCATGAACTCACTTTAAGACACGTTAACACTCAGAAATTAAAAAAAATAAAAATATAATCTTATGATAAAATAACAAGAAGGCACTAATATATGTAATTAAAATAATATCAGTGATAACTTTATTTTGTAAAGGAAATGTGAAATTTTTTCCGTACACTTTTTTTTTTGTTGTTGTTTTTCTTTCCTTTTATGTATGTTACAATGTTTTCGGAGTAATTCGGCGTGACTTTAGATTATGATGACAGTTGAGACCCTACGCAATAAAAAACATTAAATAACGTATTTACTACACCAGTTCCCCTCTTCTCAAGGTTAAAGTCAAGACAAGTGCTTCCTTATAAATTTCTCCTTACTCGTAAATAAAGAGTTTTCGGTTTGAATCGCTCTATTAAAATTCGGTATTTGGGACGGCGAATCGGTATAATAATCTCGTAAAAATTTCATTTATACCTTCCTCGAGTTTTCTGTCCCCGACAGTGTCTCGTATATCGGATATCACCTTTGCATAAATAAAAATTTATATTTGAAAAAAAGGAAGGGAATAATAATTTTAGGGATTTCTCGGTCCGGGTTATCGGAGGCGTTTCAGGCGGCATAAAATATTCATCAAATCCCCAGTGGTTTTTGAGCCTGTCTTGTCATAAGATTGTGATAAAGTGGACCCAGGAGAGGCTGACAAGGGAAACGCATTAACTACCAACGGGGTAGCTCCCTCCTTGTCTGAGTCTTTAATATGCGAGTACCAAAGGCCGGGTGCAATCAGCATTCTGGTTTTTGGAGCCTTGTACGCGGTGGCTAAGTGAGGTACCTTGTACTCGTGTCGTACCCCGAGGTACCTCCTCTAAACTTGCCCGCGCCCAATAAGCGAATTTATAATTGTCTATTCGGTGATAGTTTAAACTTCGTCATGGTGTGGTATTTGTGTTATCTTGAAGAATGTACGATGGGCTTCTGTCATATGAGAACATGCCAAATCCATTAGCAAAATGTGTTTTTATAGATATTAAAAAAAAATCGTTGAGATTCTTAAATCTTCCTATTAATCATTCTCTTCATATCTTGTTGCATTACCTTCGTGAGGAAAATAGCATACGAATCTATAATAAAGTATATATGAATCCGACCTTCGTGGGCAGCCGGAATTTACTGCCCTGTCACCTTTCACTCGCTAACCCCTTCATTTATCACCACTATTTATTCAAAATAGATAAAAAAAATAAGATCGTAAATAAAAATCTTACCTCAAAGACATTTTGCAGCGGCTTAATGCGAGCTAATGATATTCCCATTTATTGTGCATTGAGAATACATATTAACAAATAAATTTCATGACCTTATAATATTAAAATAAATTTCTTTCATATAATTAATTTTATCTTGTGTATCGTATGGGTACCACACCCTGAAACAATACATCATTGATACGAAACTTTCTAGTATTTGGATATCGCCATTGAGGCATAACATTAACCATGTATAAAAAAGACTTGATTTCATATTTCATGACACCATCAAATTTCAACTGCGATCCAAAATACTTTAAAAATTATAAAAAACTGCTTAGTATATAATAATGATAAAATTACATTTTAGAAGTGTCACTTATATATTTTATAAGTTTTTGTAACAAAACAATCAGGAATAAGATTTCTTTGATACAATTAGATTCCGATCCTTTACTACTAACAACACAACTTAAATCCCTGATCTCTCCTTGCTTTGTTTCATGTCGAATACCATATTCGTTCCTTTTAAAAACTCTTAATCCTCTTGCTTTACTGGAATACCATATATAATAGTTCATGGCTTCTAACAGCAATAATTCCGCTAACTTCATCTTATAAATTCATAAATCACGTTAAAAATTTTTCTTCTGATGTGCTTTATTCGCGTTTGATTAGACATCGGTTGCTTTACTATTTATTACTACCATTGGTATTAAATATAGCATATAATATAGCAAATAACATAGGTGTTACATATACTTTTTTAAAACTTGAATATTGATCAGATTTAATAAAAAATCTATATTCTTTAATATTAACTATCTTAACAATTTTAGTAATATGTTTTTCATTTCATAGTTAAATTATAGTTGTTTTTTTTAACGTTTAAGGTACATTTTTTTGGTGGATCGATATTGCGCAAACGACTATATCGCCCGGAATCCGTTTAGCAATCAACTTCTTTTTTCTTTGTTAGTTGCTGTTCATTACATGTCGCGCACTGTTTAGTAAATCGCAATCAGATCGCAGATCGGTTGAGGAATCAATTAAAGACCCGAACATGGAGCCCATGACGCAAATGTAACCAGATCTTTTTCAATGGCTTAATGGGATTAAGTAACGTGCATAAGAACACGTTTCCGAAGAGAATGCAGGTCGCGGATCAGTTCTTGCCTAAACACGATAGCGGCCTATGATAGAATCATTAAGTTCTAAACCTCCGGAGTAATTATCCAGGAATACGTGAAGAATCGCCGTGTAATTTACCTTTTGGGAGATGGGCTATGGTGGTTTTGATTTATTCACAGTACATAACTTCCACGTTGATCCCTTCACCTCAATCTAGGCCATCCAAATCCTATTTCATAGGAGAGTTTCTCGTATATTCTTGAATATTATAAACATTTAAAGGTTTTTCCTTGGCAAGAATTATATATTTAGATAATTGAACTGTTAAATTTTCTTATTATGTTAATAAAAGTCGCATAAATTCAAAAAATATTTAATAATCAAGGTACTTTTTGTTTAATATCATCGTTTAGGAGTTTACGGGATAAAATAGAAAAGGTCTTATTAAACTCTGGTATTAATAAGTTAGTCTTTAATTGTTGCGTTTTTTTAGACTCGTAAAATGAATATTTTTTGTCAATTTTTCCCTTTTAATAAATAAGTCTATTAACTGTAAAATAATAAATATCGCTAATTAAAGTTAAATAAATCTGTTGAAATAAGAAAATTTAACTCAATGGTGTGTAATGAACCTTTTTTTCTTTTCTGCTTTTTATAATTACATTATGGATGTGTACATTTTAAGTATTGAATTTTTAAACAATTTTCTTTCCCTTCTACTGAATTTTTCATTCTGCTGCACGAAACTTTATGAAATATACTTCTCAGTTTAGCATAGAGATAAACTCTTTAATCATTTTAGTATTAATTCCAAACGATCCAAAAGCGATGTTTAACACTGTTGCATCGAAGCCGTGGGCGGACGCAGAATAAACAGAGGCAAGTAGAGCACTGTAAGTACCTTGCGGCGTGACAAATCGATTATTAGCCAAGGTAAACACTGCTCATGCTGTAATTGCACTTTGGGGCTGCTCATTCACTCTCCTTCTATTATTTTCATATTCATTGTGACCACAACAAAAGACAGGAAGTAGTCGTCGGCGGAGTATAGGGCGTTTTTTGGAGAGCGAGGTGGTGTGGAAACAGTAAAACAATTGTGTCTATTATGGATTCAAGGTTTTAATTTTTGCAGCAAGGATAAACTATAATTTTATATTATTTCCGTATTTATTTAATCTGTACTTTTATACCTTCTTTGAATTCTAGCTGTTTACATTGTAGCTCCTATTGTGTTAGGTGCATTAAAATGATGTGTGATGGATGGTGATGAAGTGTGGTGATGGATGAAGCATTTTTTCACTGGAACATTTACAAATATTACATATTTAATTGAATCCTTATGTATCCTTACAGTAACAGTAACATTAATTATGATGTGTTTTTTTTTCCAGAGGGGATGACGGCGAAGGGCTGAGATGAGGGTGGCGGCACTTCTGCTGTGGCTGGGGCTGGCGGCGGGCGAGCAGGTGCGGGAGCTGGAGGTGAGCGAGGGCGCCCCGGCCGGGACGAGGGTCGGCTTCATCGGCGACGGCCTCTCCAGCCCGCCCTTCCTCATCGTTCCCGTCCCCGGCTCCGCTGTAGAGTCCGACCTCACCATCGAATCCAATACCGGCGAGATACAAACCAAGGTCAAGCTCGACAGGGAGAACCGATCCTCCTATTCTTTAGTCGCCATACCCAGAAGTGGAGAGAACATCCGTGTTGTCGTTCGCGTCCTAGACGAGAACGACAACGCTCCCACATTCCCTTCCCCTATCATGGAGATCGAGTTTCCCGAGAACACCCCTAGAGATGTGAAGAGGACACTGAATCCGGCCAGAGACCTGGACCTCGACGTGTTCAACACCCAGAGGTACACAATCGTTTCCGGTAACGTCAACAATGCATTCCGCCTCTCTTCACATAGGGAAAGGGACGGAGTTCTTTACCTCGATCTTCAGATCAACGGTTTCCTCGACAGGGAGACTACACCTGAATACAGCCTTGTTATAGAGGCTCTCGATGGAGGCAATCCACCCTTGAAGGGCTCGATGACCGTCAATATTACCATTCAAGATGTGAACGATAATCAGCCCATATTTAACCAAAGCAGATATTTTGCGACTGTTCCAGAAAACGCTACAGTAGGTACGAGTGTTTTACAAGTTTTCGCTACAGACACTGACGCAGGTGAGAATGGACAGATTGAATATTCGATAAACAGGCGGCAAAGTGATCGCGATGCCATGTTCCGTATAGATCCGAAAAGTGGACTGATAGCTGTGAACCGACCGTTGGATTTCGAAACGAAAGAAGTGCATGAATTAGTTGTGACTGCGCGTGATCATGGGATGCAAGCTTTGGAGACGACAGCATTCGTTTCCATCAGAGTGACGGATGTGAACGACAATCAGCCTACGATCGATGTAATTTTCTTGAGTGATGACGCTACACCAAAGATATCTGAGACTGCTCAAAAGGGAGAGTTCGTAGCTAGGATTTCTGTGAACGATCCCGATTCTAAGACAGAGTATTCGAATGTCAACGTCACTTTGGAAGGTGGAGAAGGACATTTCGGCCTTGCAACGCAGGACAATATCATCTACCTCGTCATTGTATCGATGCCAATCGACAGGGAGCTGAAGCCCAATTATACGCTGAGCGTTATCGCCACCGACACCGGCACCCCTCCGCTCCACGCCTCCCGAACATTCCATCTCCGAGTCACTGACGTCAATGACAACCCTCCAGAATTCAGTGAATCTGTCTATCATGCTAATGTACTGGAAGTGGCGGATCCGGGAACATCTGTGGTCCAGATCACAGCCGTGGACCGAGACGAAGGTGTGAATTCAATACTCAGCTATTCCTTGATGGAAAGTAACTCGGGTCGACCAGCCTGGTTTCAAATTGACTCCATGTCCGGTCTCATCACGACCAAGGCTCATATCGATTGCGAGATTGATCCTGAACCCAAAGTAATCGTGGTCGCCACTGACCAAGGTTCTCCCCCGTTGTCCTCATCCGCAACCGTACTAGTCACTATTCACGATGTCAACGACAACGAGCCCATCTTCGACCAGAGCTTCTACAACGCAACCATTCCTGAGAATGAGGCTAAAGGACACTGCATTCTTAAGGTGAGTCTTTAGATACTATTAATATATATTATTTAATATTTTTGTTGTGTTTATTCCATTTGAGGGGTACTATCTAGTTAGAGAATAAATCTTGTAGTTAATTAGAAGGTATGTTTAGTTAAGGCTATAATTAGCTGCTTTTACCCTATCTTTTACATTTAATTTTATCTGATATTTTTATGATTAGATGTGTATTTCGCATAAAATTGGCGTTATGACTATTTTCTATATATATTTCGCACTATAAGAGATGTATGCTGATGTTATTCCTTTGCAGTCGACCTGTTACAAACGATATTATTCCAAGAGTTTGTGCAGGCGGTGGAGATACACTCTGTGATATAAGAAAACCCTAATACGGCAACGGTTTGATATTCAAAGTAACGGTACTTTGAATAAATACCTGAATAGAAAGGTGTTCGATATCGATGAAGATACACTGAGGATCCTTAAATGGGCTGGGGCTATCTATTGCTGTATTATTAACTGGAATCTGTCAGAAGAGCAGTCTGTCATCATGGGACTAGCTAGTCTAGTTTTTATGATGGATCGTCCATTTTGCCGTTGATCATGTCGTTAAAAAATTATTTAACTCCCTCAGTCTTGACATCTTTCTCAAATGAAATATTAAAAAATAAAGCTTTGATTAAAAACATCTTGAAAATTTTCATTTGTCAATAGCTCTCTCAACTGATAGTACAGAAGAGACGTTGTGATTGAAACGCGTTGTTTGGTAATTTTCGTTGCCGGTTATCATAATTGACTTCATTGCTCCGTGGTTCATTGTTACCTGCTCATCTTTCTTTAAATTATTCATAAAACAAAAACACCTTTCCACTCCTGCTATTGTTCCCGGCAGTCATGCGCCACGTCCCCGCGACGAACCCGATCTCTATAACTTTTCAAACTTCACTCAACCTTATAAATGATTTAGCTCAACAGTAAAGTTTATAGTTGGATTAAACTGAGTTATTGATTTGATGATACTTATATAAATAAAGTTTTTCGTTAGATAATTATATTAAATTAGGAGATGGATTATATTTAATTAGGTATTGATAACTTTTTTATACACTTTCATCTAAAGTGAGTTCTTGTGAGTTCCCCATTCTCCGATAGCCCTCTATGACTTACAAAGTTAATATATTTTAAAGATTATTGTTTAAGCCGAAACTAGGTTGCTGCAAATGAATTAGTGTATTGCTATGTATTTACATGTTGTATTGCTGTTGACATCAATCGTAAATTCAAATAAATGATTTTTAAAAAAAATAATTTTTCGAAAATTTTTCATTTTTCAAATTCGATTAACATGAACATAGTTTTACCTACAAACATATATAACAAAATATTGTTCACGGTGTGATATTATTGTGTAAATGACCTTAGTGGTAGAAGTACTTAAATAAATAAATATTTAGTTAATAATTCAGAGTAACCTTTATTAATTTACAGTCACGTACAGTTTATATACAGCTTATATTAATTACGGTTAATATACAGTTTATAGTGGATAATAATATGAATAAAGTAGAGATAAACTAAAAAATTTATCATAGGAGTAGAAGTTTCATCTTGTTTAGTTACCTATTGTATTAGCTAAAACGTCGCGAATATTGAAAATTCTCTAAGAAATCTATGCCCGTTGTTTATGTAAAAGCATTAAAATTCTACTTGTAAATACAACTTGAGTAAAATAAATGCTAATTCAAGAGAAGAATGGTTGGGGTGCTCAGTAAAAAAAAAAAGAAGTAAAAATAAATAAGTATATTTAAATATAATTATTTTTACTATTTTTTTTTTTTTTACTGATTACCTCAACCATTCTTCACGTCAATAATTCACTACAGACAACCATCAAACCACAATTATAAATGCTAACTTATTCTTCAATGAACAGTTTTAAGAAAAAAGAACAAATAAATGTTTAAGAATAAGAATATTTGAATATGTAGGTAAGCTCATGGTTGAATCTAGGAATAATACCGCAGGAAGTAGAATACTAAGAAGAAGATCTGAAGACATTAGGGTTTTCATGTGGGACCCAGTGAATGACGTAGAGGGATTGTCACACTCGTAAACCGGGGGCTTTACGAGAGCGGTCGTGTTTCGTTCCAGCGTGACGTTTATGGGAGGCTATGTCCCACCTTCATCCCTCTATTTATGGCCGTATTCCTGTTCCTCTAGTAATCGGCGTCTTCCTCGTCTGTAGGGGTTACCCTTGTTGAACGGTGGGTAGTGACAGGAAGCAGAGAGTATCGGCAATCGTAATGCAGCATTGGTATCGAGAGGAATACTGGACGTATTAATGGCCGGAGTAGAAATGTAAGGATGGAAGCCGGAGTACCATAAGGCGGGGATAGAACCCGTTGCCAATGCGGGCAGTACGGCGGTACACCCCTCATATGTACGCTGTGGTTCAATGTACAATCTATGAGTTGATTCCTGTCCAACTCGTTTAATACTATGAATTACTACTTAGCCGTGTGCTTACTTTATTCTTATGCATGTTCTGAGCTTTCTTTCGTCGATTATGATACACATATTACATATGGATCCTCATTGGTATTATAAAAATATAGTATTTTTTAAAAGTATACTGTATATTATTAGAGAAAAGTATAGAAGTAAAATTTGAAGTAGTATTGTTTATAAATGCTCAACATCTCATTCATAATCTTTTAAAGGATAAAAAAAAAAAAACTTAATTATAACAAGGAAGGAGTTTAAAACTTTATTTAGTCTAAATGAATACCGGCTAAGGACAGTTATGTTGTTGGGACCGAAATGTGATGCTGTTGAACCCAATTTTGGGTTTACGACTCGACGAAGGTCGTTTAAGAAATAAAAACCTTTCCCGAACTCGTAAAAATCCCACTTGCCGAAAAACACTGGGACTGTATATTAACTCTGCCTTTTACAGAATAATAACCTATAGAGAAAATAAATGAATTTAAAAAAAGAAAATGAAAGGAAAGTAAAATTGGAAGAAAAATAAAGATAGGATTTAATTTTAGAACCTATTTTAAGGACTAATAAAACGTTCTAAACTTCTAACCTCCTAAATTATTGACTTATGAAGTGCTCGAAGGATGCATCGGTTTTTTTTTTTCGTTTTTTTAAATGCCATAAAATTTTGTTTATTGTTCATAAAATTGATTAAAGACTTCAATGTTGGTTTTAATGTAAAACCCTTGAAAACGCCCAAAAATGGCTTTGGAAATGTTATTAAATACACCTAATTTGAAATATATGTTATACGAACTCATTTTACTGCTCCGGTTTTTACTTTGTGTTGCTTCCATCATTCTCTAGATTTTTTTTTCAATTAGTTTAATTATGATATGTCTAATATTTTAAGAAAATATTTTTTTTTATAACGCTTTTTCGGACCGTTATCAATTTAATGTACATTTATAAAAGCATGTGATCATTCACTACTATTGTAATAATTACCATCGGATACTTACTATTTTACGAGTGATAAATTCATGGGAGCGGTCTGAAGTCTGCGTGGGACTTCTCATAATGCCTGTTGATAAACAATCCTTCAGTTTCGCCATTATTCAACCTGCATTCAGGAAACCTAAACAATATTCAAAGTTTAATTATATCGCTACATAGATTTATTTCAGCCATTCTTCGGAAACCGACACAGTGTAAATGAAACAATATCCTGGTTTTGATTTGAACTAGACCGCAGACATCTGTTACGATTGGGGCTGGTCTCCTTAGTACGCCTATTTCCTAGTTTAAGTTTGCTTATGTATAAATGTCATGTTTGTCCACCGTGTGGCATTGTGGTCGGATTATTGTTTTTTATTGGCTTATTGAACTGTATCATGTTCTATCTATTAACCGGTGTCTATTTACATATCAGATTATACATTTGATTTTTCTTGTTTTTAACTCCCACCTTCAATTATAGCTGTTTCTATAAGTTGAAATAAATATGGAGATTGGATATAAGCTAAATTCATAGAATTCAGAATGGGGAATTCATGAAATGCAGAAATGGGACATTGTAAAAAGGATCAGTGTATAAAAGGGACATATTAATAAACTTCTTCCGTGCTAAGCTGAAACGTTTGCGATACATTTTGCGATAAATTTGATAATTTATTAAGAGTAATTTACCGGTAAGATTTGTAAGAATACCGATAACACATCAAACTGGAGATTGTATTTCTCCTCCTGGTAGTTCTTTCCTTCCACCTTAGCCCTAATGACGCCCGTTTTAATAAGGCTAGCGTCGTGGGCGACACTTCCATTTTGATCGCAACTATTGTGCAAGTAGGGCGCATGCGCGTGATAGATCAGCACTATCTTAGATCCTCCGCAGGACAAATCCAACCAATCAGATCCTGTTCTTATCTTCTTCTCTTAAACTTTTCAAGATTTCTAACTGCAGTGGCATTAAGATTCCGTAGAAGATAGGTTTAAATCTGCCCGCGAGAGCGCGGCTGTAGTTTATATAATGGTGGCCATCTTGTTAGCCTTATAGGAAGACGATAAACCGCCGAGGTTCGATTGCCGCGGATTAATGCTTGTCTCTTTGATTGGGTTTTCTATCGGCGGGCACTCGACGTCTCCAGCGATCCAATTAGCATAAACAAATATACGGAGAAAAAGTTCAAATGTAACTGTGTTACTTCGCATTCCATTTTGTAGCAATTACTTATGCCATTTTATCGATCCGTACTAAATGTTGACTTAGTTTGACAGCAGATAAAATACTTAATGTAAAGTAAATTTTATTCTGATTTACGTTTCGTAGGTATATGCTTTCTTCAAAAATATAATTAAAAAATAAAATAAAATCTGGCTATCAATGCAATACTGAAAATTAGCTATTTTCATTAATTAGTTTATATTCATTCATTATATTTTATTTTCAAATCAAAAATGAAGATCAAGAATATATACCAGTATTCTGGATTTTAAGATCCAAACATAAATGGACCAAAAGCTTATTTTTGTTCGAAACATAATCAGAGTTGGATTTTAGAGAT